AAATCAATTCGCTAAAAATCAAGGTAGATCCTAAAACTGATCTCATACAAACCAAATTTATGAATTTCCGAGGTTGCTCTAATATTTGTTTTAACATGTAGGTAGGCCTAATTGTGCACAATAAATATTGGCTTAAATACGCAGCTGTTAAATTACATTCACACACTAATTTTATAAGGTTTCATAAAAGTAGTATATTAATGATATCTTAAAAAGAGAAACTGGCTATAAGCAAACCATTATATATCAAACTATAGAACTTTAAAGGTTTCATGTGTGCTACCTATTTGCCACATGTAATGTTTGTAAATTTTAGATTTAATTTCTAGGTAAAAGTCAGTTACAATTTACTTGTTTAGAAGTGTTTAACCATTCATCTTTTATAGTATTTTCCCAATATATATATATTATATTGATTTTAATATTTAATAATTAACAAATACTTTATTTCACTATTTTTGTTATAAGTTAGATGAACTGAAAGCGAAAAACTCAAAGAGATATGCTCCAGTACCACATTTTTGTCCTAAAAAACCAAAGAAACCAAAGCCTCCAAAATATATCCAGGCCCATTTTAAAACATACTTACTATGCAAGAGAGTTTCTGGTAATAATGTAGTACACATGATTATAATTAACTGATGTGTACAAAATCACATTGATTGTAATTAACTGGACCGTAAATAATATATAATACATAAGAAAACATATTTCAAAAGATTTTAAGAACGAGGGCATGTGTTCCTTTGAGCTAGGAGAATATTTTTATTAATGAATATGCCCTTAAGTACTGATAAGAGAGTCCTAACGTTGGTAAATACCTATGTTTTTCGTTATTCCACAGGGCTTCTACATAGTGAACATTAATGTAATGTATCTGATATACGCACAGTTTTTGATATAATTTCAGTGATCATACAAGACGCATACATAGATATGAAAATACATACTTTACATTTGACAAATAAATAACCAAAAGCGGTTGAGATTATTTTTCGCATTATTTTACGTTTTGTAATCAGATTATTTATTATTCTGTAACTCTATAATAATAACAAATGGCTTTAAAAATAGTCATATACATAAATGTGATTGTTAACTCTGTGCAATATCTGAAAAGTAAAACTCCATCCTCGTAAGAGTTTTACATATACAATGAGTGGTCACAAGAAAATAGACACCTAATTTGTCGTCATTTAACTGATTTATGCTAACTAATTTGTGTTCACAGAGCACTATATAAATGAAAATGGCCCGCACATTAATTATCTTGTGCTACAACATGCATAGAAGTCAAGGTTCTCTCGAAATGTCAGATTTTGTTAGAGGAAGGATAGTTGGTCAAGCAAGATGGTGGAATAAATCAGCGGCAAATTTCGCAGAATTTAGGAATCCCGCTTTTGACAGTCAACAGAATCATCGTGCAGTTCAGGAAACATGGCAAGGAAACAACTGAGCAGCGTACGGGTCGTCCTGGTCCATCGGAGAGGACAAAAAGGGCTGTCAAGAGGATCATCGAAATGGATCCCAGATTAACAACTGCAGAAGTGGCCAAAGTTGGTGGGATGAGCCCGAAATCTGTTCAGCGAATTCTCCACAGATTGGGTTATCGTTGCAGAGCAGCTA